TACTCCCGTTAAGATTTACACCCTCGGAAACCCTGTACAGGGTCGCTATGGGTCGGAACCGACTCGAAGGCACTTAACAACAACAACAACAACAAGTAAGATGATAGTATTTAAAATAAGATATAGACTTTAATCCTATGATATTGAGTATGCCGGATTAAGGCAAGAGCCATAATTAATTAAGGAATTAAAATGAATAAATTGAGACATATTAATCGAGGAATTAAAATAAATAAATGAGACACGAGGAAACCTGCGCATGAAGAATTCATTGTTTTTGCAGAGCAACAATGAATTATTTTCCTTGGATGGCAAAGCTACAAGGGAAGATAATATTCTATACACAGGCCCCTAGTTTTTTTTTTTTCCTTTTGAATCATTTTCTGATTTATTCATGATTTTATTAGTATCCCTTTACTTTGGATTTTGACTCTCCTACACTTTAGTATATTTTTATTAAAAGTTAGAAGGCATATATTAGTTACATTTTATTCTACTTGTAATCATAGGTAGTTTTAATACTTATATTAACAATGTTCTTAAGATTGCTAGGAGACAAGATTTGTCAATTGAATTACTACCAGTTTAGGCTTAGTGATTATAAACATTCTTCCTTGTAGCCTTAGTTTAAGGCAATAAAGAATCCCTAAAAGCAAGTAGGCCATAAATAAGGGCTGTGGGTACAAGAATTCCTAAAAACAATTACACTATAGATAAAGGCTATGGGTATATACAGATACTAAATTAAAAGTCTGACTTAGATGTTCTTAAATTAATGATTAGTAAAATAGAGAAGTTGTTTTTCATAGTCTCAGTTTCCCTGATAAGTGATGTTTTTGTAGGCTATAAACAGACAGTGTATGGAAGAAGTTAATGGAGAGTTAATTGCACCTAACAACTAAAATTAACAAGACTTAACAGACAAAGGTTAAGAAACATATGTGAAGGTTAACTTGCTTCTCAGAGAAAAGAATAGATTTATGTAGGAACAAATGTTTAACTAAAAGGTTTCAAGGCACCAGAATGTCTCGTATGACTTGAGATAATGTCTCTTTGCTGTAACTTTTCATCCTTGTTGTAAATCATGAAGAATGTCCCCCAGACTTGATTGTATTTTGATGTCATTGATTACTATGAAAGCAATGTTTTTTGTAATGGTATATAAGGGGGTTGTAAGAAAGAATAGAGGAAAGTAGAGAGAGAAGGGAGAAAGAAGGAAGAAGGAATATGAGGTAGGGAGGAGACTGAAAAGGAGTGCAGGAGTGAAAGAAGTAATGTAGAGGACAAGAAAAGAATGGAGGGAAGATAGAGGGAGTAATGTAGAGAAGGAGAAGGGGGAGTGGAGTAGCGAAAGAAGTAAGGTAGAGAAAAGAGATGGAAAAGAATGGAGGAAGAAGGAAGGAAAAGAAGAAGTAATGTAGAGAAGAAGAATGGGGAAGAGGAGGAGGTAAGAAGGAGTAGTGTAAGAAGTAATGTAGAAGGAAAAAGAGTGAAAAGAGTAATGTAGAGAATAAGAAGGAGTGTAAGAAGAAATGTAGCAGGAGGGGAGAAGGAGAATGAAGGAGAAGAAGAAGGAATAAGTGGAAGGATAATAAAGCATGTAAGAAGAAGATTAGAGAGGGAAAGCAGGAGAGGGGGGAGTAAAGAAGTGGAAGGGGATTAAAAAAGCAGGAGGGGAATGAAAGCAGGAGCCGGGCAAGACAGAAAAGAAGCAGAAGAGATGAGCAGGAGAGCAGGGGAGTAAAGAATGAGCAGGACAGTAAAGAATGAGAGAAGAATAAAGCGTGTAATAAGATTTTGAATTCATTATGACTTATTGACTCCATGTAATTCTTTCCGCTGACGCCGCACCCACCTTCGGAAAAAAACCTTGAAATAAATTTGCTGGGGCTGGCTCCCGGCAAGATTAGAAATTGATAGAATGATTAAATTGTATACAAGATTTACATATTCATTGTGTTTTAGGATGAGTTATTATTTTGTTGATTGTTTGAAAAATCATAGTCTAGTTTAAGGTATTTTCAATACTAATAAAAACTTGATTTTGTTTATCTGAATGTCCTTAGCCAATTGAGGACACTTGATAAACATTTGTTGGTGATAACGTTGCAGACTATTGGGAAAATGGATGGAGACAACCAGACTGGAACCTCCGACTTCCTGCTTGTTGGGCTCTCAGAGAATCCTGAGCATCAGAGACTCCTGTTTTGGATGTTCCTGACCATGTACCTGGTCACAGTGGTGGGAAATGTGCTCATCATCCTGGCCATCAGCTCTGACTCCCATCTGCACATGCCCATGTACTTCTTCCTGGTCAACCACTCCTTCACCGACCTCTTCTTTGTCACCAACACAATCCCCAAGATGCTGGTGAACCTTCAGTCCCAGAACAAAGCCATCTCCTATGCAGGGTGCCTGACACAACTCTACTTCCTGGTCTCCTTGGTGGCCCTGGACAACCTCATCCTGGCAGTGATGGCCTATGACCGCTATGTGGCCATCTGCCATCCCCTCCACTACACCACAGCCATGAGCCCTGGCCTCTGTATCTTGCTCCTGGCCTTGTGTTGGGGCCTCTCTGTCCTCTATGGCCTCATTCACACACTCCTCATGACCAGGGTGACCTTCTCTGGGTCCAAGAAGATCCACTACATCTTCTGTGAGATGTATGTCCTGTTGAGGCTTGCGTGTTCCAACACCCAGTTCAATCACATAGTGCTGATTGCTACTGGCTGCTTCATCTTCCTAACCCCCTTTGGGTTCATGATTATGTCCTATATCCAGATTATCAAAGATCTTCTCCAAATACCCTCAGTCACTGGGAAGTACAAAGCTTTCTCCACTTGTGCTTGCCATCTGGCTGTAGTCTCCCTCTTCTATAGGGCACTTTGTATGGTATATCTGCAGCCCCTCCACACGTACTCCATGAAGGATTCAATGGCCACAGTGATGTATGCTGTGGTGGCGTCTATGATGAACCTTTTCATCAACAGCCTAAGGAAAAAGGACATGCATGGGGCTCTCAGAAAACTCTTTCTTGGCAGTCTTTCAGAGGTTACCATACGGGAAATTTTTGAAAGACACTTTAAATAGAGACTGGGCATTCGTCTGTGGAGTACACAAGAGTGATTAAAATATAGATGCCACTCAGAATGAGCTGATAGATCTATGTTGAAGTAAATACATGTGAGTGGAAACCAATGTCTCCAAGACCTTACCAAACTTGGCCATTAATAATGTCACACTAACACTAATGCCAAGTCCTGGTGGCACTGTGGATGAAACATTGGACTGCTAACCCAAAAGGTCATTGGTTCAAGCCCACCAGCCGCTCCACAGGAAAGCAATGAGGCTGTGTGCTTCAATAAAGATTGACAATCTCAGAAACCCTAAGAAGCAGTTCTCTCTGTCCTATAGGGTCACATAACTCAAACTAGACTCAATAGCAGTGGATTCACTCTAACACCAGAATTTTGCATGATCAGATCCTTCAACTCATCTGTCTACAGGACCACAGTGCCACCATCTAATCCTTATCAGAACATATGCTGTCATGGTCTATGGGGGAGAGGTCGCTCATGTGCCCGAGCACATGCCCACTCGTGTTCCTGAGCTCTGGCATTATCTAAGAAGTTTGTCTCCTGTAAGCCATTTGGCGAAAGTGCCCTCAGTAAGAATGCCCCTTTCCTGATGCGCCATTGGGCATGGCGCCCACTGCTTCAGTGCTGATCCACACTCAACTGGACTCAACCCTGTAGTCTATGAAAAAATGGCAAGAAGATACTTCTTTTGAGCTCTGGGTTGATTCTATCCCTTGGGTCCCAAATCAATACTGCCTTTATTGCCTTTTTCTTACACTCTTTCTCTCTTAAAGAAGTCATACCTTGCCCTTGGGGTGCCCATCCTATACTTTTTTTCTTTGACTCCTTACTTCTCATCTCTTCTTCATACAACAACCTTGTCCTTCACTCAAAAGAAAATGATTGCGCCTATCCACATATTCTCATGAATAGGAGTGATGTTGGAGGCAGTAGAGGGAAAGAAGGGAACTGAGAGGCCCAGTCTCCTCTTAGGTTCAACTAACCATGGACTGAAAATCATAGCTGATGAGATGGTTAATCACCAGCACCATGATAGTCTGAAGAAAGGAGCAATCATTTCAGACGAACAACAACCAGTAAGGACAAGTAGAGTTGAATTAATTTAATATTCATCCAGTTATTCATTAATTCAATTGATAATGACAAGTTTCCTATTAGAGACCTCAAACTTGGTTACTAGCATGACTATTAAGCTCACAATCTACTGGGGGAAGTAGCCAATGATTACAGTAAAAACAACTGGACCTAACTCATCAGATAACAAACAATGTTTATCAGAGTGATTTGAAAACTAAACTACAGACATATGTTATATAACAGAGACACGCTGAAAGCATAAGAATATACAAAAGTTGAAAGTAGAAGAATAGAAACAGGCATATTGGGAAATAGTAATCAGAAGAAAACTAAATATGACATCACATCAAAGAGAGATCAAAAAGCATTGAGAATGGGGCGTGCTATCTCAAAGTAAATTTGAAATTCGCCATG